GGGGGGGTCTGTATTGAGAAATCAATTCGAAGGGGGGGGGGGTTGAATTGAACTATCAATTATTAGACCCGGACGCGCCGACACTTGCTTCGCAAGACAAACTCTAGGTATCCCCTTAGGGGCTACCTTTCGTGACATGGCAGGTGACCATCGGGCGATGGTTTTGGTCGGCAAGCAGCGATATGGGAACTGGCACGAGAGGCTTGGAACATATGGGAAATTCTTGGAAGGTCAAGTCCAAAACCTTTCTGAGTCGTGCTGACACAGCAAGATAAAACGCCCCTCATGCTGCAAGGAAATCAAGCAGGACATGTTGGACTCTCAAACATTTTCTCCCCCAGTCCCACTTCCTGTTCCCAGTCTCTCTTTGCGGATTCTTCGAGACACAAAATGTCATTGCCCAACCTCAAAGCGACCGACAAGCAGCTTGACTCATAGCAAATCACATGTGATACAGGCACTTGTGTGCATATATCGGTATATGTCAATATAGTAGGCTATGCACTGCACAGATGATTGTTGGCATGCACACACATGCATAATCATACAAATACACACAGGCTCACACAAATTTGCCTGTGAGATCATGTGCCATCCTGTGAGTGTGGCATAACTCGCGCCTCCTTTGCCCACACTGCAATCGCTTGCACAGCTTGTACGTTTCAACAGGATTCACCAAAACATAGAAGAATCACCGATAAGGAACAAATGAACAAATACTTACCTGGCTATAGAGAATAGAACGAAAAACCCATCCGTTCAAAAGGACAATGAACTTGAAATGAAGAACTTGTGGAACTGATAGCTGTACAGTGTACACTTTTCTTTGATCAATAGAAGTACTTGGACATACTGGACCGTTGAAAAGGGTTTTTCATTTTGCACCAAAAACACCACCTCCTCCCCTTACCTGGGCAATAGCATGAGTTTTCACAGTTCTGGTTTGCTAGATAAATGATTTTATGATATTTTATGAGTAAAATGACGCCATTCAATAACGCCACTGGTTCCATCTCAACGTGTTCCAACAACCAATAAAGGTTTGCGGTTTGCGGCAATCTATCGGACAATTTACCACTCACATCCACTCACACGAACAATCAAAACAATCAATCGGCATCAGCTCGGCTGATTTTGATCTTCTTAGCACAAGAATCACCAAAAGTTGTTGCTGAACCTAAACAATCGGTCTATCACGGTCTATCCACTACCAATTTGTCGAAAAAAAACGGCACCCACCTGCCGTCCAGGTGGCTGCGCATCAATCTGCTGAGCGGTTCCTTGAAAGTTGGAGAGGAAACAAATGAAGGCCACCTGGCCAGTCTCAGGCAGGTTTTGGGGAAATGGTGGAGACTGGTTCAAGCGGGTTAGCAAATGGTCGCAACAATTCCCAGCTGCATGTCGCAAAATGGATTCACTTTTCTACCTGGACCAAAAAACCTTGGACAGGATCTCTATGGAAAAATGCTCGAGGTCTTTGACTTGGTAGCCAGCCCTATTAGTCACAGTGGTACCCGGGTCTTGGAGCCCTCGAAGAAGGAAAACAGTCTCCTCGCCGCTGCAGACGGACAAAACGACTCACACCGTGTTGATACAGGATGCTCTGATGAACAAATTTGATGTGGATCGTTGACGGGATCACAGTCATATAAAGCTAAATCATGTTTCGATCAGCATCTTGGTCAACATATGTCAATGTTGCCTTGTCTTAGATGCAGGAGGCTTTAAAGTACCTTTAAATAGACATCAACAAACAGGAACCTGCTCTACCGCACACTCGTTTGGAGCATGGAGGTTCGACACTGATGAAATTGCTCTTGCCTCCTCCGCCTCCGCCTTCATTCAGAATTAAAAGTGCAACCATGCTCCAACAATCTCCGACATATTCCAGCTGCTTTTCTTATATAACCCAAATTCAATCCCAAATAAGCATGCGCGCTCTTTTTGGCTACTTACCTGCGACTGACATGACTGCAATTGCAAAAGCATCCACCAAACAGTGGCACATCAAAATGGTTGAGCTTCGGCTTTTGCTGCACAGAAGTGTTTTTCTCCCTGTCCTTCGCTGTTTTCTGATCACCAACAAGGGCTCACCACCAAACAAGCGACGACGAATCGATGGACGCTTTGCCCCGAAAAGCGCCTCGCTGTGAAACATGGATTGCAGAACGTCCTCGAAAAAGTTCTTGGCATTCTCAACCCAGGCGTGGGAGATCATCCTCGAAGGTAGCAAGTTCAAACGAACGTCGAGAGGATGTAGAATCAAAATCGACCAGTCGACGAGTCGATTGCGTCGCAAGCAAAATCTTGGCTTCAGAGTAGATGGCGCAATCCCCAAGATGTCGATAAGATGTCTTGTATATAGGGGTCCATACAAACAACCTTTTGAATCCTTTGGAGGATTGTGCCATCTACTCTGAAACCACTGTAAGTGTCCATAGAGATCCTGACCTCAATTGACCCGACATGTTCGCCATGGAAACAATGGCGACGTGTCATCAACCCGTACTCAATGAAGGAGAACTACCGACCACACGACCGACTGGCATCCCGCTAGGGCCCACTATACTATGGTCTACTAGTATAGTTCCACACAATTAACATCATGTCACACCTCTTGGAGGGTTGTGAATGGTGTGAACGATGCTCAGCGCAAGCCTCAATCCTGGGCTTGCTCTCTCGGCCCATCAGTGAGTGAGTGGGTGCACGCGTGCGTCATGATCGCCAAAGGGGGAATCCTGCATTCCTACATGTTCGGCAGGGCTCAGCTTAAATTGCAGTGTGTACTCTTGATTCATAGACGTCTAGATGATGTCTCCTGTGCACGTGTGTGTGTGTGTGTTCTTACTGTTGCCTCATGTTGCCTCCATTTCTGCGATGTTCTCTACGTGCATGAAGAAAAATGCCATGGCAATGCCATGTCAATGCATGCCCGGAGAACAATGAAGAGTGCCCAACAACCATAGACCGGAAACTCATAAACTGTTCAGTCTTTCATTTCCAGTCTATGTTCCTGACCAAAAGATCCAACAACATCATGTGCACTATCATGTGCATAAACCAAACAAGGGACCCGCCGAAACGAACGCTCCAGGGACCCGCCGGCCGAAAACTCTCGATTCACCGAAGCGTCAAGTTCACCTCTTGTGGGTCATCTTGATGCACCTCGATGCATCTGGCGGTTCGAGGTACATGTCAAATGGTTCCAGGTACATTCTGGGTGCCATCTACGAGCTCATCACGCTGATCAGCTAGAAGAAACTTACTGGGGTTCACATAAAAAAGCCACTTAAATAGCCATGGGGACATCAACCAATAGTCAAATTAAAAATGATGGACCCACCGTTGCATCACGTGGATCCGTTGGACCCGTCAAAGTTCCCGGAAGGTCTGAACCATGGCGGCCACGACGACTCTTGTGACCACGAATGGGACAAAAAAGAGTCTAAAATCCTTAAACAAATGGACACCATCAAAGAACAGAGAACAATATACAAAGACATAGAAAAGAACATGAGTCACAGCAAATATAACTCAATAATCAATAACAAAAGCAACAAAACAATCAAAGGAAAAACTCAAGCTGGGATCCGAGGCTCCTGCTACGATAATGGGTTTGGAAAGGCGAGGTGTGCCCAAACTTGAGTTTGAGCCTGGGTCTGGTTTTGAGTCTGGATGTGTTTCTTGTCACCATCGAACACCAACGGTAGAAATAAACAAAATCCAAACAACAAAACGATCCAGACTGCAAGAAACGGCCTTCGCTGGTCAAGCACCCAAATACCCACTTGAGTATTCCTACCTTTATCTTGAGTAATTGTTTGAGTCGAAATGTGTCTTTTTGTTCAAGGTTCAGTTATGTCCTGTTTGCTTTTTACTTGAGTCTGGTTCTCTGTCCTCCTTTCTTCCTTCTGCGTTTTGTCTGTCGTTTCACTATTGGTCTTTACCAGGCTACTGAGCTTCCTGAGCTGTCACAAGACTACTTCATTTACACATATGTAGTTTGTGAAGTATGATGTGTATATACTAGCACCTAGTATCTTCCACTCAAGGAATAATCCGGCAAGCACCCTCCCTAGCACATTTAAATAAAGGACTCATCAACATAGACTGGAAATGAAAGCCCCCCCGCCATACAATCGTCCACACGGTCAACCACACCCTGCCAAGACACCATCAACGCGTAGCCCATCTCGGTCCCTTCCGTCTGTGGCCTGACCTTGCGATGTGTTCGATCAGGGCACGGCAAACATTTGATGGGGAGTTTGAACAAACCTTTGCAGATATCTTAAGCTAGGTAGCCCCCATTCCAGTGTATATTAGTCAAGAGTCATCGTCAATAAGAATCAAGGTGCGTGCCCGCCTACTTCACTTCTTCCAAGTTGCATCAAATACTACAGGCTATGGCAATTGGCAGCACCACTTTGTGGTTCCAAGTCTTTCTTGTATGACTAAGAGACCTGTGTTGCGCGTGGTGCCCTCCCAAGCTAAATGCACCAAACATGATACACACAGAATCAAAACAACAAAACAACACACATACCGTACCAGGTTACATGAAACAGCATGGCAGGCTGAATGTCTTGGCAAAGCTCCGATTCATACTGCAGCTCCACGCATCACAAACAAAAGACACACACACAACAAAAACAAATACAAGAAACCTCGCAGGGAAACGCAGGGGCCCGGCATGTTGTATATGTTGCCCACCAAGATCAAACATACTGCTGTTCTCAAGTGCGCAATGAACTGACAACCTTCTGATGTTGGGATGACAATGGCCAAGGTCAGAACTCAGGATTGTTTTTTGACTATCAGACTTGAACTTCTCCCACATCTGGGCTTAGCATGAATGACCCTCAATCCCAAGCATATTTATGTATAAGTATAATCCAAACACATCATGTAATCTGTTCCTGACTAGCGTGCTCTGTAAGGTCAGCTTCATGCCCGCATACGCGGAGCCACGAACGAACCCGAAAACACCAACCCTCGCAGTTCTCGTGGCGTCTTGACAGCTAGTTACGCCCACCAAAGCACGGATCATCAGAATCATTGTCTTTTTTGTCTTCTGTGCCGTCCTTGCTTCTCCTATTCATCTCTAGGACTTTTGTTTAATACTCGTTTTTCTTGCTTAGTTTGTAGGCTGAGCTGAATACGATTTGGACTACTGGCAACTAAGACACACATAAATCAGCATAAATATCACCAAGCCTAGCAAGGCTGAAACGCGTCGTGACGAGTGCCGCACGAAGTGGTTGACAAAGCTGGTGACGTCCAAGTCATCCTCACGTCCGACCATGCGGGCGGCGGGCCGCGACGTGCGCGCTGCGCTTGAACGGCTGAAGTTTGCGTCATTCAAAGAGGTGTTTTGGTCCACCTTTCACAAAGCGAACCCTTCTCCATGAATTCATCTAATGCTTCCACTGAAATCATCAACCCAAGACCCAAGAGATGGATTGATCCAACCCCTGCAACATGGTAAGTGCTCGGCCTGTTTCCTCGAGCGCATAATCGTCGGTGTCCTGCCACATCTCATCGTTGGAACTTTGGACGTACAACGCCCGTAGCTCTCGACGATGGACGCCCCAGAAGCGCGCCGGAACCCACGTGCCATCCTGGGAGCGGAAAAGAAGCAGTGAAGGTGGTGAAGTTGAAGTCTGAGGGGTGAAAATAACTGAACTAGCAAAATTATTCTGAAGTATAGCAGGGGTTCATGATGGTTCATGATAATTATTGTTACACCGTGGAAGATTCACATGGAAACTGAAAACAACTGGGTTGTAGAGGAACATGGTCTTCCAAAGGTCCATTTCCAGGTTCCATGTTAATCTTCCCGGGTGTAAACAGTTTCATTGATGATCATTCTGTTGGATTTATATGTATACAGTAGACTCTTGGTATTCCGAGAGACTGGCAACGTAAGGCCTTCACAGGTGGGACTCATCAAACTACCATGTGCATCGATTTTTGCTGGTTTGAAGGTGGCGTCAAAATGCTTGGTTGAACACATGTGGGAATGCACTGAGATAAAAAGGGGATGTAGGCTCGACCCTCCCCAGTATGTTCTAAAGACTTTCTTTGTCACCCAGGGCCACTTTGACCAAACCGCATCAATCCGCTACATGCTTTACACCAGGGACTGAAATGGTCTGTTTGTTATCTTTACTGCTAATTCTATGATTCTGACATCTAATTATCAAATCTCTATAGGTCTGTCGTTCGGTTGCGATCATCTGTAGGTCTGCCAGGTCACCGGCAAGCGTTGTGGCCTAGGACCACCCTTGAGAGAGAGCTGGTAAGCTCTCTCGCCCTCACGAGCCAAAGCCGTGTGGCGACCTCGGCGTTTTGAAGGTCCGAAGGGCGGCTCAAGGCGGCTCAGCCGGGGCTCCGGCCCAAGAACCTCAACAAATACTTGGGGATCTCCCAAAACTGCGGAAGCTGTCAATACTTGGGGTTCTTGAAGCTTGACAAAGCCTTCAGTGGTGCTTGGGGGGGCTCCTTGGCACACCCACATGGATGTGTTTGTGTTTGTGTGTGTGTGTGTCACAAATGACTAATGACGCCCATATGTGTTGGACCTTCATTTCGAGACAAACTCATGTGAGCGGCGATCTAGAACCTAAACCTCTTACATGCGGATAAGGACATCAAGCATCGTGTTTTGTTCCCGACCCTATCATGTTTGAAGGTTTGCGTTGATTTTTCGAAGCAGCGCTCCCCAACACGAAGGCCGTCTTAAGGCCTATAGCTGCGCACCCACAGCGGCCACTTCTTCTTACTGACTGACAGAGTCGCACATGTGACACAAAGCATTCTATGGCTCTATTTTCCTTGCTACTCAGGCCCATGTGTGGAACACATGTGGACCTCTGGCCTTGTGGGCCTAAAAAATGCTCTAATATGGAGCAAAGTGGTATGGTTTTGGTGGCTGGCTGACTGGCTGATTCCGCCGGATACTCTTGGCGGCTGATACTTTGCTGGCTGGCTGATTCCGCCGGATACTCTTGGCGGCTTATGCTTTGCTGGCTGGCTGGCTGATTCCGCCGGATTCTTTGATAGCTCGCTGGAATGCAGGGTCAATAAAATTTATGCTAAATCCCTGCCGTTATGAAGCAACAAAAACAGGAAGGCACACTCTTAAGGGAGTGCAAAGGGTATATCTTTCTCAAAGCATCTATCAGACTATATATTATATATGTATCAAAGATAATGTTAAAATACTTGTCAAAATATATATTATATGATGTAATTAATCAAAATCGTATATCGTTGTTTGTTCCCGATCCTATCGTTCTTGAGGTTAATCCTTACTACCAAAACTAGCATGTTCAATCATGATGTCCAGCCTCCTCTAAGCCCGCTACACGAGGACTCATGAGGACAGGTTTTGATAGGCGCTCATGCGTGGGTTGGCTTTACAACAATGGATGTTGACAAGGGCGTCCACATACTTGAACTTATGCAAAGAGCTTTCCCATAATATATAGATGTGTTATCATGGCCAGGAGGTTGAGGCCCTAAAACAGTTTAAACACATGACATGAAAGGTAGAAACAACATTACAAAAGAACAACAACAATATTCTCAAGAAACACATAGTGTGGTAGCCAACGTCCACAATTAACCAAGGAATTCGGAAATTCTTTGTGGGGTAGCCAAAATATGTTGGAGGTTCAGAGGTGACTCTGAGATGAATATTCAGAGATCAAAGAGTCTGGCTACAAATTTGCTATCCAGGTGGTCAGGACAGCTTCTCTAGCCGTAAGCTCTATATTCGGAGAGAAGGGCAGCAAAAAACAACAAAAAACACAAGTAGGGCACCCAAGTGCCCAATCCACAAATCACAACAACATCTTGCATCACTCTGGGTCCAAAAACATCTCCTCAACCTATTCGACCTCCAGACCGTTGCCATAGCAAACGTGGCACGGAATTCCCAGCAATTGTTGCAGCTGGAGGCGGAGCTCTTGAAAAAGTGCTCCTGCCAAAGAGGCAAAGAGTGCCCCACTTCCTAAAACAAACATGAAAGAATTCATGTTTGTGTCACGTGAGTCTGTGTATATTGAGGATGTCCATGCTTGTCCAACAGGTGGAAGCATATCAGTGAGATTTGCAGGCGTGTGCCAGCCTGTTGCAACACTCATTTAGACCACTGCACTTTTTGGAACAAATCGCGCAACCCCACATCCTGAGATGGGATTTTCAGGATCCTGAGCTACTTACTTGGAGCCCGAAGGTTATACCTTTCAACACCCTCGTCCCGGTCGCATTCACCCGAACCCGGGTCGCAGGAACTGGGCTCGCCACGTCCCGACAAGTCCTGTTGAATGGTCATATGGGACTCCACCTGATCTAGAAAGGCATTCTTTGGGGGTGACTCTCAGCACTACCACTGGGCATTCGAAGTTCTGGCCCTCAAGCAAATGGAGAAGAACTGCCAGGCATTACACTTCGACTCATTAACCTGGAAGTGGAAAACACCCCGTTCGTGAAGGACAAATCGTCATCCAAGTGTCCATGTTCCAGTTCGTTAAAAGTTATGGTCCTGGTGTACAATGGAACTGGACCCATTTTCATCCTTGTTCATGTTATCTCTGACCGGCTGCAAGTCCCCGGCTTACCATACACAGCATAGCCGTGTAGCGCGTACACCAAACTCATTTTCATGTTAAAGAGTGATTCCATGGACTCCATAAACAGAAAACACCGTTCACAGCCAAACTGCGTTTGTTTCGTTCATATCTTGCAAAAACAGTGATTCCATGGACCCCTTGCCCCTTTGTTAATACTAGGAGCCCCTAGTAGCTTCTTGCTCCTAGTAGTACGGCCAGGAGCCCTTAGTAGCGTTTTTGTATGCCCTTACCCTTTGCTCCTAGTAGCGTCCTTGCTCCTAGTAGCGATGCCAGGAGCTCCGAACGTAGCGATGCCCTTGTTCCGCCCCTTTGTTCATGACAGCCCGTTGTCCGGTCCTCTGAGTCTGACGCACTGCTGCTCTCCGGGCTCTCTTCCTAAGGCCGACCAACATTGACACACATAAACAACGGTGTCAAGGGCTGGTTATACACACATATTATATAATATATATATAGTCTATGTTGTTGCATTATCATTGTGTTACATCTAAGTCCTGCATCTCCTGGGATTTCCACGGGCAGTGGTTTGCAATGCTGACGCCAGTGGCAGCAGAACCAACTGGAGCAATGTGGTTGGTGTCGAAAATGGGGTGTGAAATCGACTGGGTAAACAGGGATCAAACAAAAGGGTTCTCAAGGCAACAAACACGGTTCCACCAGGTTTCACCTGCTTTGCCAAGTCTCACTGCTCTGCTCATCTTTGAAGAGGTCAGAGGTCCAGTTGTACGCACCCGAGATCGTCGTCCATCCACGGCGCATTTGCCGTGTGATGCCTTTGGAACAGGCAAGTGCAGGCGCTAGCAGGGGGGTTCGGGGTTCTATCCTTGTTCTGATCGGAGGATCTTGATGTGTCTTGGTTAAACAACCTTTGTTTGATCGTCTTGATATGGTCTCAGCACATGGCACATGCAAGCAACCCATGGCTGAGTCCGCAATCTTAGAGACTGAGCCCCGGCCTGAGCGTGTCTCATCCGGTATGGTCCAGGCACGGCTGGTGGCATGGCGCATCACAGCCAGGATCAAAGGGCACAAGCCCTCCGCCCTTTCACCGGATCAACAAACCGACAACCCCCCAAGGATGGGCTGGTTTAGGTGGCACCCTTGTCAACGGTCCCACGGCATGCACCCTATCTCGACATGGACCCAGGTTACAGGAACAAACGAAATCTGCCAGCAAACGTGACACTTCTGAAATCCGGGCTAACTAAGTCTGAACAAACTGTAGGGACCTCCGGAATATGGCAGGACCCAACAGCCGAGTGCCTGGTGGCTTTCCCCTTTCACACCTTGGCCCCACGTACCAAGTTCCAAGCTTTCTTGGTTTGTCCTGGACGACGGGATTGAGAGTCTGCTCCTTTCCTTTCTTGTCTTCATGCGCTGTTTGGCACCTCTCTTGTAGCTGGCACCTCGTGCCAATTATATAGGGAAAAGCATACGTGCAACCTCCAGTGGTTTCGGGATATTTCTGACTGTTCTGTTGACTAGCACAAAAGCTTTAAAGTCATTGATCAATGTTTCGGCTCACGACTCCTTGGGCAAAACTCGCCGTTTCTGCGGGCAAAAAACACCAACTCATGCTTCGAGAACACATGCTTCGCCTCGTAGAGCAAGGCATCCGCCTCGTAGAGCTTATCGACTCATCGGCTGGTGCGGTTTACCGAGAATACTTATGACTCATGGGCATAACATCAAACCCCACGTCACGAGCTTCATGTGGTCTGACATTAAAAAGATACGTTGCCAACGCATGGTGCTGCAATTGTTTGTTAAGTTTAGTTGATCAACAAGGGAAACACAAACACATATAACTTAATATCATACACTAAGATGACACGTATATCATATTTTCGGAAAACTATGGGACAACGGAGGCTGCGCACAGTGTATTGTAAAGGACGATCATAGGGGATTTCAGGCACCTAAGACCTAAATGCATTTGCATTATTTGGCATGTATAAACCCAAGGGTCCACGGTCTACGCTCCAACAAAAAAACACGTGTTGTGTTTACAGGTATGGGATGAGATGGGTGTGGATTTGCTCTAGCCGGTGAATCATTAACCGGCTAGAGCAAATCCACACCCATCTCATCCCATACCTGTATAATTACAAAAGACAACGGTTAATTGGCTACCTGGATGGATAAGTACTTCGCACAAAGGTACCAAATATGCCAAATGCATCCAAATGCCTCAAGCCAGCCTTTTTAAGCAAGGACTCTGCACTGTCTGGTCCCTCAAGAAGGTGGCGCCACTGAACCAGGAAGCTCTGCAGTCATTGCCTAAACGGTACTCAAGGTTTCGGAAGGAAAAGCTCGTTAGATCCACCCCTGCGAATGAAGCCGTCCCCTGCGAGTCATGTGCCCGTCCCTCAAACACGGGACATGTTCTCCAAAACGCTGCCATGATAGCCAACCCCCTGGCCTCCCGCAATTTGATGCATAAAAGGCGAGCCAATTCTCAATGCTTACGCGACGAGAAAAAAAGACGTGTCGGGTCGCTCCAGAAGCACAAATGCCGAGTTTACTTCTATAGTTTACTTTTACTTCACTCAGCAATTTTTGGAGAACTGGCTTTTATACAATAGCCCTTTCAAGTGCTCTGTTCCTGCCACCATTAATGTTTAGTCTTTTCAAGTTCTGATAAGGAGACTTTGTCTTGCAGGTTTCGGAAATCATAGGTGTTTGAAGTTCTATCTAAAGGACAAGCAAGGGCAAAGAATCTGTCAAAGGGGCAAACCTTCATTCATGAAGCTTGAGGGGAACTTGATTCACCCGACATTTCACAGGTCCTTTAGTCAACTTTAGTCGATGGCAACGGGGTGAGTAATTTTGAGGCTGCAATGCAAACATGATCTCCAAGCAGCCAAATCAGCTGCCCAGTCTGGGGCGCGAAAACGCAAAAAATTGTGAAACAAGTGCACGTGTGCCAATGGCGATGGGGTTGGCGGCAACGCAATCAGCTGTCAAACGCATCTGGGTACGCTTGGAACATCTACCTGCATTCTCCTGCATTTAGCAGCATGACCACTAGCAAATATATAATATGTTATAGATTAATGATGCCCTGCATTCTCTAGTTTGGCCACCAAAGTCAAGCTCAAACCAAAGGAGTTTGCCGCTGTTGAGCTGAAAGTTGGCATCACATGTTGGCATCTCATGGGGTGGGAACCAAAATGCATCTCAAAGCAAATCCTCGCCAAAAACAAAGCGTGCCTAATGAACCAAACCCTGCCTTTGATAGCCATATACTGTCGAATACTATCGTGGTAAATCCATTTTGGAAACCCCTTCCATATGAAAAAGGGCTTCCGCCATGTTCACTGAGTCAACTTGCGCTTGGGCCGGTTCCTTCATCCTATGGGAGCAATGCCACTGCCAAAGGAATCTTGTGACCTATTACCCCCCGCAAACTAACATGGACCCTGAAAATGAACCCCTTTAGGCCTATTTATTCTCATCTACCACCCAGTGGCTTTCAGGGTCCATATTCATCGGCAGGAGTCGGCAACCTGATATAGATCATAATTACGCACTACAAGGTGGCACCTCCCAAATCACGAGGTGCACTGACCATTCCAAACCAAATTGGCAATGAAGCCTCGAGGATGCCACATGTCACCAAACCCGCTGGCCAGCTCGCCCACTGTTGGGCCGCCGTAACGGCTTCGCGCCCAGCAAACGTGATGCGGCCCGACCATGGCAGGTGAGAAGGACACACAGAGCAATCGTTGAAGAGTTGTTCCCCTTCAAGACCCCCTCGTGGGCAGCCCCATGAGACGAATGAAGGGAATCATCTTTGCTGGGATGTGATTTGTGCCATGGTTTAGAGTGTTGAGGCCTTCATCCGTGGCGAAAAACAATCGCCTTCTTACTTCTACATCCCTCTAAACGGTTCATGTGAACTACTTGCGGAACCCTCACACCGACGCACACACACAACAAAACACATCACTCAACAGCTCCTGCACAACGATTGCTGGTCTGGTGTGTCCTCCATGGAGGTGCCAGGCTCCCTGATGAATCTCAGCAAACGCCACCTGAGCGCAGCTGCTCCCCCGTGGAGCGCGAATTGAAACTACTCCACTGTATTTTTTGTCTTATTGAGGTCCCACTGTGTAGGTCACACACACATGTATAAATAAAAAGTATAAAGGTCCCTACATAATACACAAGTAACTTCCATACCTGATCCGCCCCTCTACGAACTTCAGCCACAAATAACACCAAACAACACAGGGGCTGGCTGTCCATTCCTCGGTGGTCCAGGCCAAAGACGGATCTAGAGTCCACCAAACAATTTCACGTGTTCATGCATTTTCGCGCATTTCCCCAACCACTGTGGGGGGCAATGTTTAGTTGGGTCTGGTGATTGGATGGTATGAAGTATAACTTCTATGCGACTAGGAGGCATCTGAGACAACACCGAACAGTTTCACCATGTTTCACCTCTGTGCCACCTGACCAGATGATATGACTGCAGCGTCCGTCGAGTCGAAGTGCCATGGACGAATGACCCTTGACGCATGCATGCGGCATGTGATTTTCAGGTCGGCAACGCAACACCGAAAGCACAGCCACTTTTCGAACATGCCTTGCAGTGTTCTTATTCTCTATGAGGGGAGCTCTACAGGTACGCCATGGTTCAAGTACGTGCACCCAGCTGCACGCGTTCGATTGCACTGCCAGGGCCAGCCTGGTATGCGTGCACTTCAAGAACCTCCGTGGCTCTGCTAATCGGTACCTTTGCATGGATTGTGGTTGCCGAAGCCTATGTGGTTTGACACTCTGACACTGGCCGCTCTCAACTCCTTCAAGCTGATGCATAAACGCAGCAAATCAAACACCAAATGTCAACAGTCCCGTTCAAATTCCCGCTCAAAATTCCACAGTCCCCGTGCTTAGGGGGTCACTTCCACTCACAATGAGAGCTTGCCAGACTCTCCAGGCCAAGCCATTAAAGGTTTTCATCCTTGGCAGGCCCTTCACTTCTGCAAAAGTCTTCATTGCCTCAAACATCTCTTGCCTGGAGCACCTGGAACCCATGTTCTCCAGTACTCTCGCCTTCCGCAGGGCTCCCTCGAGTATCTGGAAAGCGGCATCATTCTTGCTCACTTGCCATTGCCCATCAAATGCGGATGAAAGAAACACCTGTCGAAGCCTTGATTCAACATCGGAGGGCCTCTCCCCCTGAGCTGGCAGCATACCTCTTTTCTTCAACCTCTGCTTGTTTCTGGCTGCATTCACGAAGCAAAGCATTGCTTCTGGGAGATCTGCATTCAGTTTATCATCCAAGTAACCTAAAACCTGCAACACCTGCGCTACCATTTGAGGTGAATCGGACAGCATGAATGGTCCACCGCCTTTGAAAATCTGGTGTGACAACGAATTCCCATAGGTTTGAGCTTTGGACTTGCCTCTGTGTGCTTGGCGCACAGGAAGTACAAAAGCGAGTTTCCCAAATTCCGCATAGTGTGTCCAGTTTGAAAGACCCGGTTCTTCACCCACAACTTCATGCATTGCTTCCAAGCTCATCAGAGACGGAAAAACGACCAGCGAGCCCAACTTGTTTGCATACCAGAATTTGGCAATGCTTTGAATTGTGTAACCTGTTCCTCCATACCCAAGGCGTGCAAGAAAATCTGTCACACATTTCGTGCGAGCATTGTACATTTCCTGTGACAAGTTATTTTGGAATGGACTTGCCAACTGCACTGAGCCTGTTCCGTTTTCATGAAGAAAGGCCCTGACTTTGGGACCCACATTATGTTCACAATTGGCTTTTAACCTGACTGTGTGAACACCGGCTGCCTCAAACGATCTTCCAATTGCTGTTTGCTTGGTAGGGACAAAAACTAAGCAGGTAGTTCCTGACCTCTGCACTTCCAGCATGGTATCGATGAAATCTGAGTCGGCGGTGATCAATCCCACACATTCCAGATCAAGCCTTGAGGCTCTGAGCAAGGCCTTGGTGATTGCGTTGTCATTGGCCTCGCACGAAGGATCTTTTGACCGCGGAACGGGTTGGAAATTGATGTTCATCTCACTGAAGAATTTTCTCCATTTCTTGTTGTGAGCTCTCTCAGGCGGTGCAAAATATGTTGTACGAACATGCCGGCCGTCGGTCTCCAAATGCCTGATCGCTTGACAAACTTCGTCCATGCCATGCCGATCACCATCCACCAATAACTCAGCCGAAGATAATGGGAAAACCGCCAGATGCCTGCCTGCATGATTGGATTGCCGCTGCTGCCTAGTCAAAGAGCCAAGGGCTCCAAGGCCAAAGACAGGCCATGACAGGCCAGTCCGTTGCCAGTGGCACCAGCAGCCAACCCCTTTCCCACCTTTTGCACGCCAAAACGCCCCGAAGCGATCGCAGGGGTGGGTTTTGGTGCTTCGAGGAGGGGAGGTCTGACAAATGAACATGTTGTTGATGAGCATGGGGTTCGGCTGGCACAGCATCCCAATCATGCATTGTTCCTCCAAGTGCTGCTTGTACAAATGACTTTGGGCCTCTGCTGGTTGAAAAGTTTTTGCAGGTTGAAGCCTGGATGCTGTTTGCGTTGATAGCACAAACACCAGGATTCTTTGTCCACATGCCACAAGCCCTGCTAGTAGGAGCAATGCACTGCGAGGAGCACGGACCAAGTGATTCAACGAGACTCATCTAATAACTGTGGTCCCAGTGGTATGAATTCGTGAATGGGATGGGATCGGATCTGGTCAAATGAAGCTGTTCTACTTTAAAGGTTAAAATATGTTAAAATGATAATTACATATATAGTTACAATAGACTAGTAGGAAGCCAATCGATATCACAAAATCGTTTCTATTGGGACCTTTGTAGTCCTCGATTTGCTCCTCCGCATCTGCAACTCAAAGTGGGTTGCAACCCCGCAGCCAGCACTTCTTGGATGTTGTCGCTAGCCAGTGGCTTTAAGACCAGCACGAGTACTGATAAATATTATACATAATCTTCCATCAACGTGGGCCCAATCTAATCCAAGCCAATTACTTATTTTTACTTCTAGAGCCCATCCATGTATATAAACAAGTTTGCCCAGAAAGGAAGTCCTAGTTTTGTTTGAGAGCACGTGGAGGGGCTTACCCAGGATTTCACCATGGTTTGCATTCATGAGCTCCCATCTCTAGCAGCCTCAGTAGCTCTGCGTCACTGATCAGGAACCCAGCGAAAACTGCCAGGCCTGCGCAGCTGCATGCACACAAACGAAGACCCTGAGTGGTGCGGCAACCATGTGTCTCCTACCACAGAATGACAACGAGGATATCATATACGATCAGGATGCCAACTGAATGTTGCTTCGAGGCTGAACCGGGAGAAGAAATGGGTCAAGTGCTGAACCGATTTACACAGCGGCAGCTTCAGGAATAGATTCTCACAGCTGCAACCCGGGTTTCGATCCGCAACTTGTCACGCCGCCGCCGCCGCCTAAATTGCCATCTGGCATATCTGCACAAATCAAGCACGCAAACATGGGTCATCCAGCATGTTGGATGTTCTGGAAACGCCAACGTGTCACATGTAGCAACATCACATGCAGGAAACTCACATACACACACTGGTGCAAATGCAGGTTTGTTCATGTCTACTTGTTTCTGCAGGTGTAGGCCTCAGGCTGAGGATGAGTTCACATTAATTACAGTCATTCTTTGGCCCGCTTCATCCAGAACCCCAAACCTGAAGTACAATGGGGAGTAAACCGGCGATTCTTGGCCTCGTGGACACCAAACGGCCAAGTAAACGAGACGAAATGATACAGTATTAAGTATTAGACTATAGATAGCTATAGAATATTATAGACATGTTACACTACATGTTATACACCTGTATAGTCTGATGATTGATAAACAACCCTACATTATAGAGATGACTACATTAGCCGCTCGATTCCCCGGTTGGCATGGAACTTCCTGCCAGTGCCGGATCGGAATCACCGACCGCGCCTGCTCGACCCGTCGCTGGACACGAAAGACCCGTTGCTGGCCATGGGCGCTAAAGGATGCACCACACCTGATCATTCGCAAGGCGAGAACATGCCGGAGCGAAAGTGAAAAAGGTGCAAGGTCTTGACAAGGGGAAAAGAAAGTGGAACAAGCTTGAACATATATTATATATAGTTAATGTCCTAGCGCGCAGTGGTGCAACGTGTGAGAGTTGGACAGTTCCAATTTTTGGTTCAGCAAGGGTTCAAAAACATTCAATAACGATCGCCAGGGCAATTCTGTAAAGTGTCAACTGCTGATTGTCCCCGGTGGTGTCAGCAGCACGTGAATCTACCTTAATCTTCATGGGTTTGTTTTGGCTAAGCATTTGGCAATTGCTAGTCACGCATTCCGAGTCTCTGACGAAAAGAGGTAGGAGGGACGCACAAGGCACGAGAATGATTTCGGACTTTCCACCAGATTCAACAAACGAGACCAAGGGATCAACGAACCGGGCGTCCCGGGCTGGCGGCTGGTCGTTTTGGCCATGCCAGCCATGCGGCAATTCTCGCTCAATGACATTAACCTGATCTCCCTGTGAAGGTGATAGCCTCGGACCTGAGGCACCAATCCACTTCCTAAAGAGAAGAACTTGGAAGACCTGCATCACCTGACACTTCTAGATCCATGGAGATACCCCAAGGTGCAAGTTTTGCTAGGCTTCAAGCAGTGCGGGGATTCTTCCCTGAACTACACTAGGATCACAAGCCTTCCTAATATAGCAGAATAGTGCACTTATATTGGGCACTTAGTCTTTCTACATACTTCCCTGAACAATATTTCATTATAATTATTGTTCACATGTGTATCTTGGCTGCTTCTCAAGTGCAGAATCTCTTCGCTGTCGAAACCCTTCCGCCAAGGGACGTGATCCAGCGTCAAAGCGCCGAATAAGCGGCCTAGACGGCACTCTTCCTCAGCGCAAGGCCACTGCAAAAGCCTATGAGAAACCTGAAGGAGCACCTACACCTGCTTTGGGGGAATGGATATTGAAGGGGGCCAGGCTGGGCCAGGGGGCAAGTGGAGAACCCCAAAACTTGGGAATCCAGAGACAATAATGAATTACTGTTGAATCTTCCGAAGATTGGAGACTCCCACAGCCCCAAAAGCTTCCTTGTGCTTTTACAAACTGGGAAGGGTCATGAAGGGTCGGGGAAGCACAAGACTGATGTATGGTGCTCTTTCAAGGCACCTGTCGTTAGGTGCAATGTCGCTGGGCGTGCTTTGTGCTATTGTCATCGCAGTCGTCCTTGTTGCTGCTGCAGCCAAGGCTTGCACTGGTGATTTGGATTTTCTTTACAATCCTGCACCTAGTGCCCTGGTTCACATCACTGTGTTATCATGCTTTATCTGAGTCTAAATCGCTGCGCAGTGAAGGGTTCCTGTGACAAATGCTTTGGGTTCTTGCAGTTCGCTGCACCACGCTGTGGATATCGGTCCGAATGCCCTCGATTCTTCAGAAAACACCCATGCACAGTGTTCCGCCGCCGCCGCCGCCAACATGAACAAAGACTTTCAACTTGCATAGCCGGACAAACCCGGCGGCCAGTGCAGTGGTCTTGCTTGGGCCCTCCCTTTTGACCAATTTCGCATCTGATAGAGCGAGCATCAAGGCTTGGATAACGTCCTGCGATGACTTCGATCCAAAATAGCGGTGTCGCTGGTGTAAAAAACGACAGCGGTGCAGAAATGAATTGCTGGTCTTTGTCTCATCTACTGACACTTGCTGACTCGGTGTTGGAGTATCACTATGCTTTGGAATACGTTGGCGGTGTAGTTTGTGAATGAAACGCTATTGTTTGTTGGAGTATTGACAAGGTGTAGGTTTTGAAACTCCCCGCAGCATGGGTTGTGGTTCATGCAGCCGCTCTTGCAAGAATTCGATTTGGCCAATATGTTAGTCATCTGTGAAACCGATATCGGCCACATAGAAGCACCTGACTATCATTCATGCATAGCCATCGATGGGCAACCCCTTGGTCGTTCATACTATACGCATCTATACCCCGTGTGAGTCGAAACGATCGGACCACAGGTGCCACAGCTCCTCTGGCTTGGCATGGTCCCCAAAGTTCTCTTCGAGGTGGGAGAAAACCTGAGCCGTGTGGCCACCGTTGGGGGTCATTCCACTGGGGCTGGTGGACATGGGCCCTTCTGAAAGAACCTATGGTGATATACGGTAATATTATTACAAACAAAGCAAGCAGGAAGCCTTTGTAGAAGGAATGCAGTGGAAAGTCGCTTCCATCCAATAGGGGACCTCTGTATCTCCAACAGTGTAGGCTGGCTCTCTCTCTCTCTCTTGCTTCATCGGATGATGTATTTAGCTGAGGTCAGCTGCTGCCTTGGGCATGTAACTTGTTCCTATATTGTCTTGCTATCAGAAGGGCCATTGCAATAATGTATATATGGTGAAATGTATATCAATCCGGGTACATAACATAATATACACTATAGACTATATAGAAGTTGTCAACAACTGTCAGGAGAGAGAGAAATTGCACCCCCCCTTGAAAGTGCTTGGTTTGCTGATTCAAGCAAGGGGTGTGCCGAAGGAAACTGTGACACCAACATCATGCGACGAAACAATTGTCTTCAACAAAGGCCACTTCAACAAAAACAACCATTATTTTCAAGTAGAAAGGCTGGGCGAAGGTAGCATGATGCGGCCAACTGGATTGATGCATGAATATTGATGCGTTCCACCAATGGTTTCCTTGCTTCCAGGTTAGGTTGCCTCAACAAACTGATCAGTAGTGCAACTTTGTGTGCAAATGTGAGTGACTGACAAAGTGCCAGGTATAGCCGGTATAGCCTCTCCGGAACTGACATAGTGCCCTCATGCTTGCGCCTGAGGTAGAGGAAAATCGTCCAGTCCAACTCTGTTAGCTTTGGGGGAGGAGTATAAAGAAAACACATGTTGATACATGTTGCCATTAATGTGCACATCCTGCTATATCATTTGCAGGGCCTTGGGCCTCAGGCTCCTGACTACCCACCCATGCAAAGCAAGCCGCCGGATCGCCTGACTTGTTCAAAACATAGCCTCGGCCATCAAATGGCTGTGGTTCACTCATGTTGTAACATGCACATGGCTAGTCCGAACATTCCAAACATCAAGTTGGTTCATAGCGAGTGACCAAACAGTGGCTTCTCCCCTGCACGAGCGCATCCACGACCAATGGGTGGATGCATTAAGTCGCATAGACCAGCACAATCTAGTGTTATGCTTGATCAACCATGATCAAATCATTGTCCCTCACCATGTGAAGGGGTCTTTAAGTCAGCTTTGGGCCTCCTCTGAGAGCCTTTCAAGCCCAACATAGCCCAGCTTTGTGGGGACATCTCTCAGCTGCATACAATCCACTACTAACGGTTTTGTGTCAAAAACCATCGCCTTGGTGGCTTCTTAAGAGGATCTGGCAGCTGAAGCCAATGGCTCAATGTAGGCCCAAAGCCTGACCAAACGTCCTGGCCCCTGGAAAGACCATGTTCCGAACAGAAAACAGGTCGTGCCATCCACTTCCATGTTTGGCCGGGAGGGTAGTAATTGTGTGTTGGTTCGCTGAGGCGTCCGCATTGCCGCTTTGCACTAGTGACCCAGTTCAATCCAACTACAGTAATGCCCTCATCTGGCGAAAAGTTTAGCAATCCTGATTGGAGGGATTGGCGGGTTGCACCCATACATTGGACCCATTCATCTACACGAGCCGCTCAAGAAACCCAATCCCATGCTGTTCCGGAGATGATCCTTTTTTCCAGTTCTCAGGTCTCAGGGGCCTCGAGACCTTCATCCACGTCCTGCGCTCCACCATCCATGGAGGTAGCCAAGGTGCAGCCGCCAGCGATGAAGCCTTCACCCACCATGTTTCCGGGCACCTGTGACCAGCCGGCTCAAACACACTGCCGGGTCAGACTAGCAGGACTGCACGTGATTGCACGGAGATCAGCGCGAAGAAATCACTGAAATCACCTTCGGATCTCTTGAGGAGTAGGTTTTCACCACACCTGCCTGCAGGAGAAGTGTTCCTCCCTCCGTCTTCCAAGTGAACCTGCAGCCAGACTCCAGCCACACCCTCGGTCAGCGCACCTTCTTCGCTTGGTTGCGCTTGATGTTGGCTTTCAACTTGCTTGTGCTCCACCTGGTCTTGTGCTTCATGCCAACTGAGAAGGTACCTCGCATGATCTCTCTATTTCCAAAACTGACTTCTCTGGACCTGTGCGGACGTGTGGGCTTCAAGGGTCCGTGGCATGTCGATCCACTGGACGAAGCGGACGCGTGTGGTGGTCCAGTGGTCCAGACGCTGTGTCGCACCGTCGGGCACAGTGACAACAAGACACGACCCATGAGGTCCTCAGCTGGATGGTGGGTGCTTGCAGTGTGTGCATCTAGTCTAAGAACATGCCCCCCCCAAAAGGGCAAAAAATAAAAGGAAATCAATCCATTGGTTGAAGAGTCAAAACCCAAACCCCCCTTTTTGGATGTGTTTAGGTCACCCGTGGGCCCGTGGACCCCTGCAGTTGCTGAAAACATCTCCAACTATGGGAACTTACAAAGTCATTCCACCAACTCCATGGAAATGGCTGGATTGGATTGAACAAAGAGTAACCGAGTTAATTATATTATAGGAAAATCCACCAATCCCATGGCTCTTCGATGCTCCTCGCCTCATTTGAAGAGGATTCGCCTGACTAAGGCCGGCGACCTGTGGCACCTTGCGTCGCTTCTTGTCGCACCTTGCATCTGGGATGCCCGGCGGATTGAGCATGACCGCCAGGAAGCCCAAAATACCCACCGGCTGCCACACCTCGCAGCTAGTCGCTTCCCGCGCGCGAGGAATGCGCAAAGTGATGAATTCGTCCGGCTCTGCTCGTTGAAGATCCACATATATATATATAATGCTCACAACAAAATGCATCAGGAAGCTCATAAAATAGAATTCAGACTAATTATATAGTTATATAAAATATCCAAGAAAGAAAACACTTATGGACGTGATAAATACATTTAATCACACTATAAAAAGTGTATCTGCTTCTGCTGGTTGTTCTATTGCCAATAAACAATGCTTACACTCGCTTACAATATGTTGCAATTTTACAGTGTCGTAGGGCCGTAGGGCCATGCTTTATATAGCTGGAACCGAGCCTGGAAAATGTAACAGAATGAGGTCGAACAGCCTGGACCTTGCATAGTCAGTTAAACTGTATGCTTTCAAGTGTAGAAACCTGCATCATTCAAAACAAACAGGAAAAGGTGTTCCACCACCTTGTGTTGTATCAGCCTGACATGAGGGGTATCAATAAACATTATTGACGAAGCCTACGAAGCCGCTCGGAAAACCCGACTAGCCGAATAATATGGTATTGTCCTGCTCTCTTTCTCTCTCTCTCTCTCTATGTAAATGCATTAATTATATACAACTGCATCCTATGAATGTTTGTGCTAAAAATTATGTCATATTTCTCTCTCGGAGGGGGCCACTGGAAGGCCGATCTGTGTGGCAAGCCTTTCGTCACAAACACCAAGCAGCAGCTGAAGCATCAGCTAATCTGCGATTGCGACCCGGCCAAAACGCTCTGGCCATGCCACATCACCGCCGCCCAAGGCTTTGTAAAAGTTGTTTTCCTGGCTGCAAAGTCTGCCAAGCCAGTCAAAAACATTGAAGGAAACTGTAGACTAGTAAATGGAAAACCTCTCGCACTCCTAGTTGCATTCAGTAAAGGAATCAAATTTTAGCAACTTGAACTCAGGGTTTCATACCTGCATGGCCTGTATTCCCACCAAGGCTGGCAAACAATCAAAAAACATGGGTCAAGCTACCCCAGGCTACCGCTCCTTGTCCATGAGCACTTCTCCAGTCCAATAATCGCGTTCTGACGAGGCCGCAAAAACACACTAAGGAAACGCTGCTGGGAAAAATGAATCCAGGAGTTTGATGTGCAGTGATGTGCATCATTTTCAGCATCCGTTTTGGTCAAGTTGTGCCCATGCAAACAAGGGAAACCATGAACATAAAAAGGTTGTGAGCTGACCAGCCGTTCCAAAGGGATTGGACATCAAATCAGACTTAGACTCGTGAGTTACAGTAAGTTGATCGCAAAAGCAAGGGGCCCTTTGGGAAAGTTCTGGGAGCTTGCGATTTCTCTTTTTTGCATTAATAATGTAGATTTGATCATGCTATCAACGGAGTCCTCCTCGCCTTATTACAGTGGGAACTTCAGGGTGGACAAATCCGATGTGTTTCGTGCCTGTTTTCGTGCCAATCTTGCCGACGAACCACTTCTAAATTGTTGTTGCAAGTGTCTGTGCTCCTCAAAGCACCCCACATCCAAAAAGATAGCAGCATGATGCATCTCTGCGTCCGGTAGTGGCGTGCTCTATCTCAGGCGGTGCAGTTAAAAAACATACTAAAAGGATCTAAAAGGAATCACAGGTACTCTTGTGATCTCTTGCGCATCTCTAGCTAAACAATTGTGAACATCTCTAGCAGCTGGCAGCCTGCTTTCGAGTGATTTCCTGCACTTCCAGGTGCCGAACCCAAATCTCTACTCTTTTTTTTGGCCTTCCACTACCAAAGGCTACTAGGAACAATGTTCGCTACTAGGAGGCTCCTGGCATCGCTACCAACGGAGCGATCGGACGCTACGAACGGACCTTTTTGGCCCATGGGAGTGGTGTCCGGGGTGAACGTGTTCGTCCCCGATCCACGGGGCTCGGGGGTCGCGACTGACCGAGGCTCGGAACTCTTCGACCTCCTTCTCCAAGTCCTCTTTCACCAGTGCGACCACCCGAGTGGCGCCAGCAGCTTTGTAGTCATCCTAGGCAGCGGTTTTCCCGCACGGCGCGGAGGGCCAAAGCCGGTGGCCTTTTGGGGGATCCATGAGCCCTGCTGACGTGGAAAGGACATACTACGGAATACGTGACGGCGCCCAGTCCCAACGAGTCCCAACGAGTCCCGGCCATGAAAGACCAGGTCAGTAGGATGACCAGCTCAAGGCTGGCTGATGGGACGCAGCTTGAATTCATCTGATACATCAACATCTTCAAGGATGTGCCATGAGCAACGACTAAGCTAAACATGCTAAAAAATGCTAAACATACGTTGTTGGCTGGGATTTCTTCATCTTAAGATATCTTAAGTGGTTTCACCTCGCTTGAGCCATATGAGCTGCTACCTGTTGTTTCATCTTCAGCCAGCTTCTGCGATTACCTCGGCACAGCCTTTTGGGTTCCGCTTGGTTGGGTTGGCTGGCTGACTGGGTGGCTGGCCGGCTAGGTTGTTGGTTGGTTGGGTTGGTGGGTGGGTGGGTTGGTTGGTCTGTTGGTTGGTTGGTTCGTTGGTTGGTTGGCTGGCTGATTCGTTGGTTGGTTGGTTGGTTGGTTGGTGCCGATTCTCCTTTTCAACAGGCTTCCAGTAGTATCGCATGGACGCCGCATATGATTCTCTGGCGCCTGTATATATACGTGAATGATGTTGAACGTGCTCCACGGAGTTGTCACGTATTCATCAGGGATCTGGCAACCTGATCTGTTCGATGACCCTGACACGAAAGGGCCCTGTACCCTTCCTTAGACCATGTAAAACCGCAAACCGCAACACAGGCCCCAGGAAGGTCCTACCCCAACCCAAGATGAAATATACACTGTTTTGGCTACCAAGCTGCAGCTGTCAGCTGTCTGAGCTGATTCTGCATACAAACTCTTACATATCCCAAAATGAAAGAAAACAAACACTATAAAGCCACAGTCAAAGTGAGGAAAGCCAAACATGAGCGGATCAACGCACGTCAGTCAAGGCAGGCCACGGCAAATCAATTGTAAACATCACATGCTCCACCTGCAATACCGGGTCTGTTTGCAATCACTAGTTCCACCTAGTGGTTTTCTTTCGTTCAAGCGCCTCGCAGTCAGACGCTATCCAACGATCAAACCCGTCGAGGGACGAAGCGGGCCGCGGCCTCCTTGGCCTCCTGCATGCAACATCAGATTCTGCGATCTGTGATTCACAAGCCTCTCAAAGCTTGATATATCTACACCATCTATATGTATAAGCGTATATATAGTAATTGTACATGTTATACTGTTCATGCTGCATTACAAAGTTCAATTGGGAAAGCCATTCAGTCATAGGAACACATGTCCCGCCACCCAGGAGTCACGCCATCCCATATATGTCAGCAACAACTTTCACATGTCAGGCCTATCGAACTGTTGAGTGGACCTTAAGGAAGCCCATTCCTTTAGAAATCTTGGCTAACATCAATCTCCAATCTGATCACCTCGGTGGGGACACCCCGATTGGCCATCGCGCAATCACCCTGGGCCAACGTCTCGCGTGTGTCACAGTAGGTCACACACGTGTGATTTCGGTCCAGCACCTACTAGCTAAGTTGAAGAGTCGCTGGTGAGGTTCGTGCCTCTGTATGCGCAGGAATGATCAGGTATTGGAGTGTGGGCTACTTTCGGGCCAAACTAGGCTGTAGGAGCACTTGCAAGGACTGGTATGATAGGGATAGGGTCATAGCCCGCTCTCCCCCGATCCCGCCTCCCTGCACATGCCTGTGCGCCATTGTGTGCTGTTGCCGCTGGGCGATGGTGTGGGGAGCTGTTTAAAGGAAAACGCACTTCTTTGACTTTGTGCATCCACCAGCGCCAAGGCCGCGCCAAGGGTTCCTGTTCGATCCTATGGAGTTCCGTTCCAAAAACAATCTTTGCACAAAAGGTTCATCGGGTTTCTGCACGGAACCCTGAGGCCAATAGAATCAGACACATCCAACTCAGCTCTAGCGAAGATTTGACTTCCAAATCTGTCGAGGGCCACTAAACCATCACCACTGCGCCCCTGTGCTGAAGGCCACACGACTGTAAGCACATGGAACACCAGCAATTGATTCAATACGTGATTCCACCAATCCGTGCGATATTTAACCCTGGTAGACACTTTCAAGTTGCAATGTTTACACATGTTTATGCCGTATACACTGTACATGTCCATAGAAATGGACTCTGTCGGGCAGTGTGCGAAACCAACCCGGAGACCTTTACCCTCCAAAAGTAGGGTGAACTCTCTGTCCCTTCTTGTTTCTACTAGCAAACATTGTTTCTAATAGCTTCTTGTTACTACTAGTAAGGCACTTGTTACTAGAAGCGATGCACTTGTTCATAGTAGCTTATTGTTTCTACTAGCAAACATTGTTACTACTAGTAAGGCACCTGTTACTACTAGCGTGGCACTTGTTACTACTAGCTCTCTGTCCCTCTCTCCAACCAGTGGCACTACTTGCTCCATTTCTCCCTGCCAAACGGTCCACCGTCTCCCTCGCCCTCCGGGCACTAGTCACACTCCGCCTCAGCCCGGGCGGCGGAAGGCGTAGACCACGGCAGGGCCCTTGGCCACCAGCTCGCTGGCCGGGAAGGGTTCACCTGGCACCGGCACTTCTGACCACGGTGGCGTGCGACCGCTTGGGACCTGCACCGGTTGAAAAGCCATTTCTTCGTGGAATGTCTCCTCTTTCTGGTGGAACAGGCGGTGAAAATGGACGTGTGACATCGTGTGACTTGTCGTTCTCTCGACTCATCATGCCTGCTTGATCATTCATGTGGCCTACAGTTCTGGATGTCAAAGCCTCAGGATGTCTAATGACCGAACTGACACTCTTTCCTGCAATCTTTAGGAAAACAACACCCATCCCATCCCAATTGTCTAGCTCAACCACTCTGTCCCTGCGGGAGGCTCCACCTGACCCCGCAGGCAGCGGTGTCAGCATGGTGCTCATGGGCGGAGCTGCAGGGGCGGGCATCGTGGCCAAGGACCTGGCCTGGCGGAGCTGTGGAGCTAAGTTCCAGACCTGAAACCGTTGGCTGGGAGGCAACAAACACAAAAAGGAACAAAAAGGCCCCTGACTGACGTGCATTCCTGACAGATCCAAAAATTAGGCAATCTATGACCATGTCCAATTTTTTAGATAACATGTGATGGTCGTGCTTGGTCGTACTAAAGCAATTTGATACGGATGGTCTGGCTATGTTTGCTTCAGGATATGGGTCAACATACTCAGGGTCCACGAGCAAATGAACGAAGCTGCCGACTTCGTGGAACAGAAGCCTCTTCTACATCATCAGCGTTTCGCGTTTCGCAAGCGAAACAGGGTTTCAACAGTTCAGACCTCTGAACGCCTTGAAACTGAACGGTCGGCCTGCCGATTGGTTGGACATCGGTGGACCACAGGATTGTCCAAAGTTGAATGCACGGTGTGTATGACCCTACAGTGGTTTCAGCAGTACATGGAACAAGTCCCCGTGGAAAACTGACATGAATTGAACGGAAAGGTGTCGGCACAGGCTTCCGCCCATCCACTCTGAACCCCTTTCATCCAAGCAGCTGCTCGAAAGGCTAAGGTGCCACGCATCTCTTTGAGCCCAATCAGCGGGACGCGAAACGCATGCAGCGCCATGTGAAGCACGATGAACAGTAGGGCTGTCAGAAGAAGACTTAAAACCAACCGTGGGGTTCCAGCTGCCCCAAAAGGCTAAAGGGTCTACTCGCACAGTTGGTTCTTCGGTTAAAAGGGTCTGCTGTGACAGCCCTGCGACCTGTTTGCCCTACAGCCAGTGGTCTCGACACACCCCAGTCCTTTGCAATAAAAAGACTTACCATGGCCATACGAAGAACCAAGCTGCCAAAAAGCAAAGCATAAAGCGGCCCACTTCGGTGCGGTTTTCGTTGTCATGCTGAACAACCTCGCCATACACAAACGCTGAATTCTATTGGCTAGCCAGTCGGTCAGACCCTCTCCACTCCCGTCGAGCGCGCCAGGACGTACACTTGGCGCCCGTCACCTGTGTGTTCTGTGAGTGTTGGCTGAGGGTTATGATGTCGTGAAAGATCGTGAAAGTCTAGCTGAATCCTGCACCTCCCTCTCTCTCCCCCTATCTCTCCTTCCTTGCATGGAGACAAATGAAACAAGTACTAAGTAACAAGTCAACATCCTCAGAATGATATTCCAAAAAATAAGTCTCTCCTCCACCGTCCGCTGCCTTCCAGCAGCTGGGTCGACAACACAGATCGCTCTTGCACCATAAGAGGGCATCTGGTTTCAAACTGGTTGCACTGCATAGTCTGAAACCGCGCCAAACATGACTAACTATTGCAAGAGGTCAGCAATATGGACTCCCCCAGCATCTCAAAAGGCGGGGGATGCAAGTAGTGGCCCCTTCGGAACCAATTGATCGGAGTCCTGGGAGAATCTCTCCTGCATTCCACCTAGATGCCCATGAACCACGCCGTCTTCTTTCCCCTAAAGCTATGAGCCGACAGCAAACGCCGCGTCCGCTCGGTTGGGACAGCGAATCCTGGAGTCAAACCTACGGGCGGCTTGGAACACCTCGCAGTCTTGGAGCCCCCTGTCTAAGAACATGGCGAAGCAGGACCCATCCTGATAACAGGGACGGCTGATGGTGCAAAATAGCAAGTGCACAACGGTGTACATTAAAGTTCTGGTTCTTGCACCTGTGTCATTTTGGTCTTGTCATGATTGAAACACCCTCCCAATCCAGTGCTTTTCTGTATCCCAAGCCAGCCGCTACGACCTCAGGGCAGGCCACGACCTCCATGGTGTGCCACGACCTCCATGGTGTCTTTGTCGGGAAGCTTCCCTTAACACCAGCACTCACAGGGCTGTGTCCACAGCTGCTTCAACACAGCTGGTTTCACAAGCATAATCCCTCCCACCTAATTAAACAAACACGTGCCCCCCCCTCCTATAACGAAAACACAATTTTCTTGAATAGGGGTCCCTGAAATAGGGGTTGTCCAAAATAGGGTCAGTGAGAGGATCCTTTAATCATTGATTAGTTACACATGCAATGCAGATTTCCTGGCGGGCGCAGCGCTTTGTGAAGTTTGAAGTGCAGATTTCGTGCAGAAATCTGGGAAGAAATCTGTTTATATATTATATAATTACATAAAATCCTGTATTCAAGTCGTATCAAAAATTTAAAAAACAACCTCCAGATCGAAGGGGCTCCCTTTCCCCCTTACAAAAACCTTTGTTAAACTAGTGATTCTTCATGAGACTAACAACTAAAGCTTTCGTGGATAGACGGGGTGGACAAAGGTGGGCAGTTAGGGTTGCTTGTGGAACCTGATATTTTTTTTTAACAACTGATCCAAAATCGGCAATGTTGGTAGCTTAGTAGCGGTTTCAAAGGGCGGTAATTTTAAAAACAAATATATACCGTATACTATACCGTATTTAGGGGTCTCCGGTATGATTTTCTATTTTAATAGGGGAACGTTTTTGTAATAGTAATAGGTACTCGGGATTAATGTTTGGTGGTCAAAGACCTATGGACACCATGGGTGGCATAGGATCTATCTGAGTCTGGGAGGCCATTCGTCTGTCGAGAAACCCCCAAGAACAAAAGATGTATATATATGATTCGATTCTGAATCATTAGCGAGAACTTGCTCCTTGAATACCCTTGAGTAAAACTGCCGCATCGCTCACAAAAGGAGTGACAACATCCAAAAACAATGTGGAGCAAAAACATCAAACAACATATAAATATAAATACATGCAAATATATATATATGTGTGCCTTTTGATTTGTTTTCATGTTCTTTCGTGTCAAAGCACGGCATACCACGTCTGTTCCTGGGGTTTGGCAGGGCCTTCTCCTGGGAGAAGTTCCGGAAAGCACCTCCTGAAGTCAGTCATGCTTGCCACGAGGGCAAAAGCCTGCCCCTTGGCAAAAAAGAAACTAAACACGTTTTAAGCATGTGGCACTGGATCAAAGCATGTCAAAACTTGTGCTCGTGGCCACTGCAGTGGTCAGTCATCTCTTCGGAACCCTTTCTCCATACTTTACATATTATACCTTCTTGAGATCTGGGTTTTGATCCACGGCGCCATCAAACAGCTACAACTCGGCTGAGCATGCGGCTGAGGATGCTAAAGCTGCTACAGGGCATGGTTTCTCGCTGGTTCATGAACCTCTCCACAGTGAAACATCACATGGCTGTAACTGCCGGATCTGCATCCAAAATTTTGTGGGCTGATATGTTCAGTTCAAACCACCCAAAAGGAAATACATGGACTCTGGTCGACCCGGGTAAGGTGATCCATCAAACCCTTCTCATCTTCACCAACCGGAACTTGACGCCATCATTGCACTTTGGCCAATCGATGGGTGGTCCAAAGCAACTAACAAAAGATGCTACAAGCCAACAGCCGCTTGATGTTGTCCTCTTGCACGTAGGAAGCAAACAAATCGGTCCATTGTGCACTTACGATCAACAACAGAAAGTACAAAGTGTGAGATGTGTGCAGGGATACATGGATATTTCAATCGTGGACTAGACAAGTCCTTCGGTCCAACAAAGGCGTTGCTTGATTGTACCTCATCCACTCCCACATCCTGCAAGCCAGCGACTAACGAACCCAAATGAACCCAACATATGAAGCCTATAGGTTGTTGACAGGTTTCCGTCGCATACACTGCCTGGAGTCATCATGGAAGTGGAAAGTGGCCCCTTGGATAGCAATGTTCCTCAAC